TCAATTGCCTAATTTTCATTTCATCCATGACCAAGGTAAAGTAATTTTTTTATCAGGGTTACTCTCCGCTCTCAATTTTAATGCCGTCAGCGCTTCTTGAGTAAACCCTGGTCGGCGATCGATGGTAGTGTATCACTTAGTCAATGTCCGTGGTGCAGGCAAACATGTTCCAAAAGTTTTACGTACATAGCGATAGGCTTTTGGTGAGTAATAGTTAAGTGTTAGGGCAAAGTATTTCTTGCAAACTTGTGAAGCCTGTTTATGCTATTGTTTTTTATGTCAAGGCATTTTTTCAGTTTAATTTTCCTTGGCCTAAGTGTTGGCTCGTACTCGCAGTGAGAGTAGGACTAGCTTGGGCTATATAAAGATTTTTTTTTCGAATTGTGACTTTTGAGACAACTAATGGAAATTTTCCGGAACATCCAGCTTTCTTTTTTCGACGTTGCTGATGTTGTGCAATCACCACGATTACCCTAAAATAAATAATTTACTTACGTAAGTCAGAAGATTCAATATATATATATATATATATATATATATATAAATTTGATAGATTAATGCCTTTGTAAACTTAAATAAAATATTTTCAATTAGAGCAATATTGGGGTCACAAAGGTAATAATACAAATATTTAATCTAAATCTAATTACAGCCAAACATTAACTCACACAAGTTCATGGTTGGTACTGCAGTGTCAGCTAAGCTTCTTTTATTGTAAGATGGGGTATGAAATATGATTTTTCAAAATTTTCGGAGCAAATGGTGCTAGTCCGTTTGGGTATCCAAGATTCATGGTTTTTACAAGCTACAATCCAAGATTGTTGCCTAAAAAGGATCCTTTAGAAATCTGTAAAAACAAACCATTAATAGAAAAATTTACTACTTTTTGTAATACTTTACTGTAAAAGCTAAATAAAAACTACAAAACGGTTCGGCAGACAAAACCCGCATGGTTAACTAACTTATCGTTAGCTAAAGTTGTGGCGTCCATTATTATAGTGCAATACTTTCGATTTCAGTGCTACCAGTTTATTTTTATAAAAACTGCACGATTTTGCTGCGATGTAGCTAGTTTCTATTTGACTTATTTGGCCTTTATTTTGTATAATATTTTGATAAATATTAGTTATAGATTATATTAAATTATATATTATTTAGGATCGTGTTGAAATTGTGCTGATATATAAATCATTTAACAAAATCCACTACACATCTATATGTAGTGATTATTATTCATCACAAACTGATTTAGTTATTAGGAAATATATTTTCGTTAATATATGTAACTTGTGTAGTAAATTATATTTATTTAAAAATAGATTACTTTTCACCTTATGAACTATAATGGCCACACCTGGTATTGGACGAAAATATTCACAAAGTACGAATTTTAATGATAAAATTACTTTAGTATTATGTTAAAAATGTTCACAGATGAAAAGTCACACTGTCCTTTTGTATACTTGATGTTTTTGATTGTTTTTTTTTCATGTAAATACAGTGCAATTCGGCATTTTGTCAGAGCTCGATTTACTGGCACGATCATTTCGGAATGACGCACGACGCGGAGCAACTAGTTTTATATAACGAGTATGAGACGGACTCTCGTACCTTTTACAGAGGGGTATGCCTTGCGATGCCGTCTCCTTTGGTTTAATACTCAAAGCCTACCGCCACAAAACATTGTATAAAAGTACTCTGTGATTGTAGTCTTTGGTTTCTGTATATATTACTCTACTCTATGGTCTTTGGCCACAAATAACAATAAAACTTTACCACCTATAATAGAAATTTTACATACAATAAACATAAAAGTAATTTAGAACATAATAATTATAATAAGAGCCAGAGTTAGGCCAGTTCTTGGACGATGAGAATTTTAGTCATCACTACTTAATAAAAATTATAGTTGGATTATAATTCTAAAAAATTATAATTTGGAAATGGACGTCAATTTATCAGTTATTTGCCAAACATGTCTAAGCAACAAGCGGTTACTATATCCTACTCATAAGTTAGCATCTGTTCTTGATGAATTGGACTTATTTTTAAAGGTAAGTGGCATTGTTCTGGCATCGAAATAAGATTTCCATCATGAAGTTAGTTTTGTGATTGATGAATGTGCTCTGTGGATAAAAAGACACACACACGTATTTGTTACACAAAACATAATCGAGTATTCTATTGTTAATATTTCTATTCAAGTTAAACTGATTAAGGTTGCACTCGGCTAATGTATCGAAAAATAATAACTGCGATTCACCAAGGATCCCAATAGGTTGCAGACAGTCAATCTCACCATTCCAGTTGATGTTACTTAAGTTAAAGTCTCCCATTATTAAAAATAAGTCGTTCGGACATGAACTAACAATGAGTGACAGCTTCTCTGAGAAGTTTTGCAATTGCGTATTGAAAGAATTACCTAGATTTTCCTTACACAAGTATAAGGTGCAAATGTGAATATTATTTGAATGTAATCCCCGTTTTCCTTTTTTTCGATGTGATTGTAACCCAGATGTCTTCGGCAGAGGAGTGCCATTCTGGGCGTTCCACTGCAGCTAACCGACGGTGAGTAGCCAACAATACCCCACCTCCATACTTCAACTGTGTCGATTGATAATTCCTATCACGCCGCCAGACAATGTACCTATCATCGAATAATTCGCTATCACTTAGACCATCCGTAAGCCAGGTCTCCGTTAGTGAGATAATATCGTAAGAGGACAGGAGTAAACTCCGCTGGAATGCGTAAGTCTTGGTGCGTAGACCCCGAGCATTTTGGTAATACAGTTTAAGGTCGTACGAAGCCATTAGTAATCATGAAAAACATATACAAACACGTGCGCATACACTTACATATGTAACCACATAAACATACACATACATGCACACGCATACCTACGCATAAAAACATATATACACACACATGTGATACATAAATATACATACAATCCGCAACTTGAGCAAAACCGCAGCTAATAAGATTATTATCAAAAAAATAAAACATGAGGTACCAATTATCACTATAGATAATCACAAGACCAGTGGACGTATGAGTGTAACAGTCACTCTCAGCCCATAATAACAACATGAAGTATAATTTCATTATTACGTATATATAAGAATGTGTATATAATGATAAAAATACAAATAAGGATACACCTTCAGGCCGATAATACCCGGAGAGGCGGGTACTCAGACTTAGTAACAAAGTGTTCGCATCCGTAAAATATAAGAGTATATAAAATATATTTTGTAATAATAATATACCTTTACGCGTATAGTACTTGAAGAGACAGCCATTTACAATTCCTATGTACTGGCAATTACTTGAACATAGGAGAGAAAATTGAGCGTAAACGCGTAACAAATTCCAGTTTAACATTAACATTAAGACGACAAGTCCAGAAAATATAAATGGTAATAGATTACGATTGGTGGTACTATTTCGATTGATATTAGTATTAATTCGAGATAATTTCATATTAAAATAGCAAATAATAACAGCAATAAATAGTAGGGTAAATATGAAATAGTTAATAATAGGTCTTGTGCAGTCGAAGTAAATGACAGGCAAAATCAGACTTAAGTTTAGTAGCGCGCAATCTAAAATGGGTAGTACGCTGATGTATAAACGTGCCCATACGGGTGGGAACGTTGCGTCAATGGCTGCATACTTACATATGATATTAGCTTGAACTCTGCAACACAGTCATATTTATGGATAAAATAAAACGTTAACAAACAGACGGTGACGGCTCTCAAACTTTGTAACAATATTTCATAAGACAATAAATTTTTTGAGTACAAAAGAAAAAAGGTCAAATTAATATTTAAACTATTCTGACAAGATCTTTCTCGCACCTTATAAAAAATATAGGAGAAGTATCAGACTTCCTGGCCATAATTTTTGAGTGCTTAACCCATATATATATTAAAATTATTATTTTTCGCCAGAGATTTGGCTTTGCTCAGTAAAACCTTGTTCCGTTGAGTTAGGTGATCATTCACATAACAATATCCAGTAGATGCAAAGCCCATGTCCGACACCGACAGCCGAGTCTTACGCGATGATGAAACAAAATTTTCCTTAATATATCGATTGTTAAAGGAAACAATTATTGGTTTCTCAACATTCGGTACACGAGTGGGCACTCTGGCTATATAATTTATATCTTCTTTTTTTTACAGGAAAATTACACATGTTGCCAATTTTCTGAGTTAAATCATAGAGGTCTTCATTATTTTTTTGTGGTATTCCCCTGATTTCAATATTGTTGGATCTAGCCCACTGGTCCCTGATGTCAAGTTCCTGGTTTAACTTGGTTATTTCCGCACGCAGCCCTGATACGTCATTCGCCATCTCCTCCGCTTTAGCTATCCTCGATTCCAGGGATTTAACAGTACTCGAAAATTTATCTATTAACTCATGTGCCATTTCTAACGACGACTTTAGACTAATGACATCCGACTTGATGGATTTGATGTCTTCCATCAGCGACGCCAATGGAGCCAACCGTAGATTAATATGGCTCAGCTGTTCTAGCACACTATCCATCTGACTAATCGCTGGTGAGTTAGGAGTCGGCGAAAGTGGTGGGCCCGCCTTGAACTTCGGACAGCGCCAGTTGTTCTTCCTGTCACCAAGCTTCCGAAACCCGGTCTCAGTAACTCCAGCACAACCGAAGTCGTACCGATTCTTACATAAACTGCAAACAGGACCGTCAGAGTGTTGAAGGCCGCAACCAGAGCAGGTAAACATTATGAAAAGTTTGAGAAAGACTGATTGAGAAAGATTGAGATAACTATTCAAACGAACAAGCGTGTGTTTAGCGACAATGTCAAAGGACAACTGAATTGAATTGAAAAAAAAAAACAATGAATTGAATTTTAATTCATTGTTTTTTTTCCAGAATGTAGGCCAACACATTTGTGATGTTTGTCAATCGCGGTTCAGTTCTATTAGTTCCTTAAACAAGCATCGTAAGAAACATTTTATATTGTATCGCTGCCGAATTTGTGATTATGAGAGCCTCGAACTTTGGTCTGCTGTGAACCATTGCCGTGCAAAGCATGGTAGGGACACCAGTGAGAAAATACACTGCCCACAGTGCTCTGTTATTGTAAGGTGAGTTAATAAAAGTCCCTATAAAACACTATAGTATGTGCCAAATCGATTGAAAAAAACGGACAATGACCTTTCGGCCGTTTAACCAGGGGTTACAAATAGGCACATTTTATATGTAGTACTTTCTTTATTTATAATGATTTTTTAATTTATTTTTTATAATGATTGATATAACATATATTTAGTAAAAGATCACTGTAGAAGGAAAATCATCTATTGTTATAAAGTGCTTTATTCATTTAACATTTTATGGGAATCTCCATACACGTTTAATAAGCGATATATAGTGCTCTTGCTGACTCCTGAGATCTCCGAAACCTGTTCTACCATTTTAACGTTTGAAGGATACACGTCTTTGGGCCTGGCCCTGGTTTTTGACATATTTGTATACATTAATGATAATCTCTTGTTCCCTGACCGACAAAGTGGTAGGTTTTCTCTTTTTTACTGGTGACGTTAAAGGTGCTCAATATTATTTAAGAAAGGTCAATATTATTTAAGAAACACTAGAAGTGTGAATAATATAAATATTTAAATATTGTTATCACATCTAAATTGAGATTTTGTAAGTTACGCCTTTTGACACTCACCTCATATCTGAGTTCATTGTCCGTTTTTCTCAATTGATTAGGCACATACTATAGCTACATGTAAGGATATATATATATATATATATATATATATATATATATATATATATATATATATATATATATATATATATACTATATGTAAGGATCGTGACACTTGGCGATTTGTTCTCTCTGGCTACCCCGTTAGGGATTGTGCGTGAAGATAAGTAAGTAAGTAAGTACATACTATAGTGATCTCCCCCAGTTTTGCATGGGTGATATCTGGATTCTATAGCAGTGCCTACTTCTAGGTCCAACTATGAGTATAACTTTCGCATAAGTACAAGCAATATGCTGAGAATGTTTTATTGCAATCTGATGAACAGTACGGCAGCTCATAAAATACAAACAAAAATTAACTTTTATATATTATCTGGGGGCACGGCAGTGCCCGCGCCAAGTCGAGCAAAAAAGCGGCACAGCCGTACCATACTTTTCTCGAAGCAATTCAAGCCATTTTCGACCCTCTATAACTTCGTAGTGCATAAAACTAGAAGCTTGAATTTTCAGTATCTAAGTGGGCATTATATAAACATGGTATATTTCAAATTTCGTTCAATTAGAACCAGTAGTTTAAGAATTATAACTAGTCAAAGTTTCTTAATTTTGTCACTCACTGACTGACCGATCATCAAAACTCTAAGACACTTCAGCAGATGTAGAAGCTTCAAATTCGGAATACAATTAGTGTTTGGTGTATAAATCAAGGAAAAACTAAAATATTTTTTAATTTCGGTCCAGTTTTTCAGTTCTTCTACCGTAAAAAGTTGTGAGATGAATGTAATACCAAGTCGGTTAATTTATTCAGTCCACTAAGCAATTTAATTTAATATAATATCTATTACTTGCACAGATTATTGTGAGATACATTATGTTTTCATGCAATGGCCAAGTCAATCTATATATTTAAAACATAAAAGATTTTTAACATTGATATGGTTACTATAAAATGTTGTTAGGTTAGCTAATTGCATAATAACTTAAAACGGAAGGTTAATTTATTCAGTCCCTACTTAAGTAGGGACTGAATAAATTAACCGACTTGGTATTACATGGATCTCACAACTTTTTACAGTAGAAGAACTGAGTTGCGAGACTTGGTTTTTTTTACAAGTTATGTTTTTGATGGCATATAAATTCTCTGTTGCCATAGTTGATGTAAGATGATTCCATTTCGATTTCCAATGATTTTTTTAATTTCAATGGTATTCGCTAAATAAATGACATAAAAGATTTTTCGTATAGGATACACTATATAGCTCGACACCAAATTCAAAAGTTACTATTAACATCATTGTTATAGCCTATTTAGAGGCCGTTGAAGGCTTCCTATGTAGATTGCCTCATAGCGGGAACTTGCATTTTGATTGCCATTGTTGCTATACTTGCCGGACGAGTTGGCATCCCCGGTTTTTTTTATTTTTTATTTATTAGGAAGACACAGTTGCCTGTCTGGTTTGTTCCCCTCTGTTGTTTAGTCCTTAGTATTAGGAAGTTATTATTTGTAAATAAAAGTTTCACATTCTAGTTAATGACAGGCCTGTTGGTCTAGTGGTTAGTGACCCTGACTGCTATGACGGAGGTCGTGGGTTCGATTTCCACCCAGGACGAATGTTTGTGTGATGAGCATGATCATTTGTTCTGTGTCTGGGTGTAATTTATCTATAATATTTATGTATTTATAAATATATAAGTATGTTTATCAGTTGTCTAGTACCCATAACACAAGCTCTGCTTAGCTTGAGACTAGATGGCGTTGTGTGATAGTTGTGGAATATTATTATTATAATGGAACTACCCTTAAGGTATAGCCTATGTAATTAATAAATAATAAAAATCGATTTAAAATTGGTGAAGATATCTATAAATTTAAATTGTTTTTTTTCGATATGAGGGAGGACAAACTAGCATGCGGGTGACCTGATGGTAAGTGACTACTGCCGCCCGTTTGCAACTGCAACATCAGGGCAATTGTAATGCGTTGTAGGTCTTTTATCCTATGGGTCCGTAAAAATCGCCGGTGATATTCGATTCCACTAGGAAGTTATACGATGAAGAAAACCTCTTGTGAATCGTGAGAGTCGTGGACCGCCAATCATCCAGATGATGTGAATGGTATCATGAGTTGTTGAATTTCAACAACTCATGATAATTCAGACAAAATAGTAGACATCAAAGATAAGTAATTACTTATCTTTGATGTCTACTATTTTGTCTGAGCTTAATACGTGATTGCCCAGATGGATGCTACCTGAATACCCCTAATGCACGAATACATTAGGAGTATTTTTTATTTTTTTTATTTTATTTTATTCAGGACAACAAACAATTGTGTAATAAAATATAATACAAAATACAGGTCTCATAAAAAGGGAAATACAAATAATTACACAACCAGCACCATTATCCACGAAGTAATATCACAATAAAAGTAATATAATAATGCACAGCAAACATGTTGTATGATACCACAAAAGATGAATAAATTCGAGCGTTCCCTGAGCAAATCCCAGCCAACACAACCACTGTAGTGGCTATGCTAGCCGAAACTTGCCTCCAGAAACAACAGTTGATTCATTAATAAACTGTTTAAGCCTTAAGGCAATACTTTACTTATTAGTAATTTTTTTAAAATACACTTTTTGAACGTTACAAATGATAAAGCAAATATGTCAAGATCAGTAAAGTTATCATTATATGATTTCATGATACGCCGTAGTGGAGCTCTCTCTCCCGCGTTTGTTCGGCACATCTTAGGAGCAAATAAACGATGACTATACGTATTACGAATGCGTTGGGACCGACTAGGTATGCGTAGATATATTTGATTTATGAGTTTATTAAAATCTAATTTATTATGACAGATTTTGTATAAGAATAACTGATCAAAATATAATCTTCTCATTTTTAGAGTGAAATTGAGAATTTATCTAAATGAGTGAGATACGATAACCATTTCCTAAAGCATTTATAGTTTAAAAAGTAGAGTAGATTACTACTTGAACAAAATTCAAGAAAAAGAACCATCTTTAAAATAATCTTTGTAGGTCCTCATCTGGACAGACTTGAAAAATCAGTTATTCCTGTTCCCAGGAGTCCAGAAGAATTGACAGAGCATATCCGGTCTCAGCATGTGCTACATTGCAGTGAGTGCGGGGGCAAATTTAAAGGGAAGCAAACACTCCGGAGGCATAAACTGTAAGTGATTGTTTTTTTTCTTCACCGGACCGAAAGTCCATGGGTCTGCCTTAATTGTTAGGTTGGCATCTGCAGTAACAGATGTCATCATCTTTGATGTAATTGCCTGTCACTGGTCTGGATATCCTACGTCTGGTGTAAACGAGATAGTATATCGCTTCATATCTCCTCGTCTATACATAATGATTGCCTCGTTGGTCTGATGGTCGTAAACGCATTACTTATTATGAGGTACCATGCTCGAATTCTGGGTCGGACTAAAATCAATGTGTGTGTGCCTCGGAAAGCATTTAACGCTGTTGTTCCTGCACCTGATCTCTGTCCGGTTGTATCAGACAACCGTACCATCGGACTGAGAGTGAGGGAATATCGGCTGCACCTGTGCTTGCATGCACTTGAATACTTGTATCCTGTCTTCCATAGGTGGCTAATCTCTGTCGAAATTCGTTTTGGGGACATTATGACTCCAACTAACGGTGGTCATCAGACTTATAGCTCTTTCATTTATAGTCGCAACTTACGACGAAATGTGGGTAATGGATTTACTTACACTGTAACCTGACCTAATTCCCGATGTTTCTGCAGCCTGTGAACATGCTTAGGATCATGTAGTAGACCCTATTATACTTTCACGCTAAACAGCATGTAACAAAAACCCTGTAGTTCCTATAAATTGCGTTATTAGCATCAATATTAGGCTAATGCAGAGGTAACAAAACCACATACAATTTGCAAATATAATTTTATTAAAATTTAATTGATTTTTTTTAAATAGGATAGGGTGACTTAATATTAATATTGCCATATAATGAAGCAGACTAGGTACCACGTAAATCACTCGTTTATTAAATTGACTTTAAAATTTAAATATTAAAGGCATTTTTTATAGAATAAGGGTCGCAATCGAACACACTGTATACCCGATGGTAAGTGGTTGCTGTGGCACATAGACATCTACATCTATCCTTATCCATCTATCCTCGATTACGAATCAAAATGCAGTTGCGTTGTGTACCGTGAGGACTAAGCTGGAATGCCTCGTTTCCACTAAAAAGAGTCTGGTTCTCTACACTCACCATATGAAACACAGCAGCATTAAGCTACTATTTTACGCTGGTATTCTGTGAGAGCGTGGTCCTTCCCCGTTCGAGCCTACCCATTCGTGCTACAACTATACTACTAATATAACTGCAGCATGACTACCATGTATAAACATATTCTTATGATTGAGTTTTCTGAAGTAAAGTTATTTGTATATGTTTGAATAATGATTTTGATAATGCATTTAACGGTAACCACATGGTTTTTACGAGGGTGGATTGAAAAGTACTCGGCCTAACCAAGAAAATAAACACATACTAAATCAGTTATATTTTTATTTTTCTACATAATCACCATCAAGTTCAATACACTTTTGCCACCTCCCCCTTCCAAGCATTTAGACCGTTGAAAAAAAATGATTCTTCCTTAGAGTCAAAATAACCTCGTCGTTTGTCGAAAATCTTTGACCTCCCAAGTGCTTTTTTAGGTTAGGGAACAAAAAGAAGTCTGATGGTGCCAGATCAGGTGAATACGGCGGATGCGGTAACAGTTCAAAGCCACAGTTGTGAATTTCAGCCATTGACTGTACTGACGTGTGAACACGGGCGTTATCTTGATGAAACAGGACTTTTCTTCTGAGCATTCCTCGACGTTTTTCTTTTATTTCCTCTCGTAAACGACGTCGTAAGGTGCAGTAGTAATCAGAGTTTATAGTCTGACCCCTTTCAAGATAATCAATCATAATCACACCTTTCGAGTCCCAGAATACTGAAGCCATCACCTTATTTACCGACAAAATCGACTTAGCCTTTTTAGGGGGTGGTGAACCAGGTCTTCTCCACTGTTTTGATTGTTGTTTTGTTTCCGGTGTACAGTAATGAACCCATGTTTCGTCCAAAGTAACAAAACGATTCAAAAAATCATCTGCATCGGCTTCAAATAACTCCAAACAGTCGCGTGAAATAGTCAATCGCGTCCTTTTTTGTTCAACTGAAAGCAGTCGCGGAACCCACCTCGCAGACACCTTGTGGAAACCCAACTCGTTGACAATGATGTTTTGAGTTCGTTCATAAGAGATGCCTATAATATCGGCTATCTCTCTAATTTTTAATCTGCGGTCTCCCATTATTAAATCAAGTACTTTTTTTAATATTTTCGTCAGTAGTTGACGTCGAAGGCCTTCCAGAGCGGGGTTTATCTTTCACACTCTCTCTACCACGCTTAAATTCTGCTATCCATTTTTTGACGGATGAATATGACAGAGCACAATCGCTTAATGTACTGACCATGTCATCATGGATGGCTTTTGATGATAGCCCCTTCTTATGGAGGTACTTAATGACGGCACGCTGCTCGATTTGCTCCATTCGCGGAAATTATGTCCGATTACTTTGTTAATAAATTTATAAAATCACAACTAATTATCGCACACGTTTCGAACTTCACACAATGAACTAGCCTGAACTGAACTAAATAATGTGGGTAGATTTGATTTTTAGAATTGAATGGATCTGTGTTAGGCCGAGTACTTTTCAATCCACCCTCGTATTACATTTTGTATACAATGCAATAGAACACCAATTTCTACAAAGGATGATTTGTAAGGCTATTGAAATTTAAAAATATCCTGATTTCAATAGAGAAGTTCATTGGGTGTATCTGTCTGGGATATAATAATCAATAAAATTAAATGAAAATGCAACCAAACCATTGCAATACTTCAAGGTACTGTAAGTTAGTTCAGTGTAGATTGAATCACTGAATCAAAAATGTATAATTAAAAGCTTGAGTGAACTATGACAACAGGATGTTTGGGAGACCTTTTTTTACTGGAAATGGGGCATTCTATCTTAGTCCTCAGGGGTGAGAACGCATCTGCATTTTGATTCTTAATCGAAGATAAATGTGGATGTCTATGGGCTACAGCGTCCACTTACCATCAAGTGGACTGTGCGCTCGTTTGTTAACCTTATTCTATAAAAATACTATAGAATATTATATAAGACAGGAGTTCACCTGTAGAGATTTTTTTTGGCCATTTGTTCTCTGGGTGCAAGAGCCTCATTTCAAAACGGTAGTTTATTAAAACAAATGTCTAACAAACATAATTTTAATTTCCTACATAGAAAATCATAGCACTTTCTATTACCGTCACAGCCTATCAAAAGTCCATTGCTAAATGTCAGCCTCCCCTATAAATTTCCACGAAAAGAGGGAAACTTGCCATTTTTGCTACTTTTGGCAACTGTAGTTTTTATTTTTATTCAGCTGGGTTTTTTTATAGGATAGGGTGACAGACGAGCACACAGTCCACCTGATGGTAAGTGGTTACTGTGGCCCATAGACATCTACATCTATCTTTGATTTACGAATCAAAATGCAGATGCGTTGTCACCCGTGAGGACTAAGATGAAATTCCTCATTTCCAGTAAAAAGGGTTCTCTACACTTACCATACGAAACACAGCATCATTAAGCTACTATTTTTCGCTGGTATTCTCGCGTGATTCTTCCCCGGTCGAGCGGATCCATTCGTGCTACAACTATACTACTAATATAACTGCAGCATGGCTCTGCCACGTATAAATCTGTTATCAGGAAAATGCTGCTGCCCATCTCCTGGATCAGTTTCCCTCTGTCACCTCTTACGACACCCACTGGAAGATATTGGGTAGCGAATATTCTTACACCGCCTGTTGGAGACAGTGCCCTATACCCCTTGTGATAGGGAGAACTGCCTGCCCTGATGAGAATAAATTAAACTTGAACTGTACTGGTTTAATAAGTGCTACAGAGTTAACCCAACAATGTAACCGTGCGATTAACCTCTCAACCCCCTAGCGGTCTCATGAGACCACGGCCATATTCCGTCAAATCCCTAGCGGTCTCATGAGGTCGCACCCACCCACAGCACTTTAACCCATAAAAATTTATATATAGAGACCTCTTAACATGAGCGAAGTCGTTCTGTTCGACCGGCGAACCGCTGCTTTGCTCTTGCCGTTCCGCTCCGCCTAGCCCCGGTGCTAAAACTACGCGACGCATCTTTACGCGGTGATGTCATGCGTAACCTTGTCTTCACCACCATTACCACCAGATCACCATGGTAAATCATAGGTTTTATTTTTCAGTGTATTACTTCTAAGTAAAAGTTCTACTTTTAGTCGGACACACGGCGTGAACCGGGATTTTGTCTGCGATATATGCGGGAAGACGTTCACGAAGAAGTCGCGCTTGGAGTCCCACGTGGTCGGCCACAACACGGCACTGGCGAAGAAACTAGCATTTTGCACTGTTTGCAATGTGCAGTATAAGAATCTATATATCTATAGAAACCATTTGAAGTACAGCGTCAACCACTCTGAAAGGCTGTAAGTAACTTTTTTTATAAATAGTACAATATCTTTCTAGCTGACTTGATCAAGGCGACGACTTCGGTTTTTTGTACCAGTAGCGTGAAAGTAAGTATAACAAGTGGTGTTCTCAGTATACACAAGTACTCTCATCATATAAACACCAAGAACAAACTCCAGCTAGTGATACCAGTTTTGACTCCCAACATTCTTTCATGGGGTCTCGGAAAATATACAAGGTCTTACTATTATCAAGTTTAATTTACTATTATCAAGTTAATAACCCGCTGGGAATGAGGTGATTACTTTCAAGCTGTTTCCTAAAAAGTTTAGTGAGTAGTTTGTTTTATATGTGGTAGAGCCATGCTGCAGTTATATTAGTAGTATAGATGTAGCACTAATGGGTCGGCTCGACGGGGGTAGGACCACGCTCTCACAGAATACCCTTTTTACTGGAAACGAGGCATTCCATCTTAGTCCTCACCGGTGACAAAGCATCTGCATTTTGATTCGTAATCGAGGATAGATGTAGATGTCTATGTGCCACAGCAACCACTTACCATCAGGTGGACTGTGTGCTCGTTTGTCACCCTATCCTATAAAAAAAATATGGAGTGTCGATAATTCTGTCTTATTTGTATAAGTGACATAGAGTATAAAATTAACCTTTCTTAACCCTTAAAACCCTTTTTTTTATTTTATAAAAAAAACCCCCTTAAAATTGTTTTGCAGATATGAGTGTACGGAGTGCAACAAGAAATTCGCGTCGAAGGTGTACTGGAAGAAGCACCGCGATTTTTACCATTTAAAGAAGTCACAATTTAAATGCGAGATATGCAATAAGGTGATCATTATTTTGTTTTGCGTTTTAAATTTATTTTTATTTACATATATAATATGTACGTGGTAGAGCCATGCTGCAGTTATATTAGTAGTATAGTTGTAGCACGAATGGGTCGGCCCGACCGGGGAAGCGACCACGCTCTCACAGAATACCAGCGTGAAATAGTAGCTTAATGCTGCTGTGTTTCGTATGGTGAGTGTAGAGAACCGGAGACCCTTTTTACTGGAAACGAGGCATTCCACCGAAGTCCTTACGGATGACAACGCATCTGCATTTTGATTCGTAATCGAGGATAGATGTAGATGTCTATGGGCCACAGCAACTACTTTCCATTAGGTGGACTGTGTGCTCGTTTGTCATCCTATCCTATAAAAAAAATATAATAGTTCGTGTCTGGTAGTCGCCATATAATGTCGGTGTGAGAGATTTAACTGGAGTGAATAGGCATTTGTTACGCTACGACAGTGCGAGTTACCATCACGTTTACATCACCACTTACTGCCAGGATTTTTTTTAAATGTAGGCAAAGGGTGACAAACGAGCACACAGTCCACCTGATGGTAACTGAATGCTGTGGCCCATAGACATCTACATCTATCCTCGTTTGCGAATCAAAATGCAGATGCGTTGTCATCCTTGACGACTATGATGCAATGCCTCTTTTCCAGTAAAAAGGGTCTCCAGTTCTCTACACTCACCATACGAAACATAGCAGCATTGAGCTGTTATTTACGCTGGTATTCTGTGAGAGCGTGGTCCTTACCCGGTCGAGTCGACCCATTCGTGCTACAACTATGCAATTAATATAGCTGCAGCGTTGCTCTACCACGTAAAAAGGTGGGATTCTGGTCAAGAACTGGCTTATAATAAGTAAAGAATAAAAAATAAAACTACCCCATATCATCTCATAGGTGTCATAAGAAGGCGACAGAGGGAAATTGTCGAATAACTGATCTGAGTCGTAAAGGTGTACATAACATGTAAAATATCCTGATGAAATACAATGAAAGTCTGGTACTGAGAGGTGGTCGCCAATCTGCCCACCCAACTTGGCGATTAAAGCAACTCTTTCCAACTATTTCCCGTGTAGTAACGGTGTAAGAGTATCGACTGGCTCATATCATCCCGTGGGTGTCGTAAGACGCGACAGAGGGAGACAAACCTGCAGATAGGTAGCAGCATCTTTCTAATTACTTTTTTTATAGTATAAGGGTAGCAAACGAGCACACAGTCCACCTGATGGTAAGTGGATACTGTGGCCCATAGACATCTACATCTATCCTCGATTAAGAATCAAAACGCAGGTGCGTTGGTTGTTACCCCTGAGGACTAATATGGAATGTTTAGTAACCAGTAAAAAGGGTCTCCAGTTCTCTTCACTCACCATACGAAACATAGCAGCGTTAATCTGCTATTTGACACTGGTATTATGTAAGATCGTGCCTTTCCGGATTGAGCATGACCCATTCATGCTACAACTGTACCAGTAATATAGCTGCAACATGACTCTACCACGTAAAACTAGTTAAAAAAACTGCTTTTGCCAATCCGCTTGCCAAGTGTGGCAACTACAGCAAATGTCCCCCTATGAGATTAGGAGGCCTATGTTAATTAGTGTAATTTAATAGGCTATAACAGTTCCCAAATATGGGAGCGGCGCGTGCCTAGCAATGGTATTGTTACAGGTTATAAAAAAGAAGATTGTGTTTTTATTCTTGATTGGGCTATAATAATAATGGCCTCCAGACCGAATTTCGGCCACGGCGGCCTCCCTCAACGGAGGCTAGCCATCGGCGTAGGACAGGATTATAGTGCCCAAGTGTATGTGCGCAAGCACAGGTGCACTCTCTATTCCCTCACTCTCATAATCCGACGGGACGGTAAACCGACACGACCGGAGAGAGATCAGGCGCAGGACCAACGGCTTTACGTGCTATCCGAGGCACGGGGGTGAGACACCGACAACTTCCTGACTCCGGGCAGCTTCTGAGAATTTCTGGACAGAAAAATTCAATAACTGATTTTTTTTGTTCCGACCCGGGGTTCGAACCCAGAATCTTATGATCAGCAGTCGCACTACTACAACTACTAGACCAACGAGGCAGTTTGAGATTAGATTGGGCTATATATAATATACAATGTTTGTTGTTGTTTGGTTTTGATCTGATTCTTCGGATTTTGAGGGTCCTCTTCACTGGTTATGAGGCATTCCATCTTTGTCCTCAGGAGTGACAATGCATTTGATCAATGATAGATGTTGGTATTTCTCACAAACTGTGTGTTGTTTCTTGCTCTTAGTTTTATAAAAAAGGATTTTGGTACTAACCATAAAAGTAAATAGAGTCTAATACACAAATCCTTGTATTTTTGGAAGATTTCGACAAAGTTTCTTTATTAAGTACATATAATAAGGGTTGACTTTAGTAATCTGCGGTTTAAGTAATAATTTTTGCTTTAGTTGACAGGTTGATTACCATGTAGCTGATTTTTATGCCGGAAATGTTTAGTTTTCGAGATATCGATAATTATAGATTTGAGGTTATATCCATTTAAAAATGATACGAAAACGAAGTAACAATAATAGCAATAGAGCATGGCCTGTATCTGTTTTGAAAAATAACACGCAATAACAATATAATTATTAGAAAGAGATAGCAATATTATGGTTTGTATGATATGTTTATAGTGCTATCCTACTCTAACATACAGTGTTAAACAATGGTTGTGTTCATAGAATACTATAATACACTATAGAATGGCGGTCAAATTTATTTTGTACGAGGTTTGGCGTCGCCAAATCCGACTCGCTGTGTTGACAGACTGTACAAATTTACACATTTTAGACTTTTGATTAATGTTCAAGATCATCATTAAAAAATCGTTTAAATTTTAATACATATTTATTTGTAAATAGGGTGCAATTTGGCATTTTTTAAATAATTTGCATGCGAAATTTGGAAACGATTGTAATGTCAAAACACATCTCGTGTTGACATTTATACGTGTGAATTGACGTGTTAGTGACATTTTAGTGGCTACGCGGGCTCCGCCCACTCCCCCGTTCAGTAATAATGTATGTATTATAGTATTCTATGGTTGTGTTACATGAAGCCTAACATGAAAAAAAAACAATTTTTTTAGTCACCATTCCACTTTCGTCTTCGGACTTGGAATGTTTTGTGCTCAGTTTTTGCTCCCAACTCTTGGACCTTGCTCGATTACTGGACCTCCGATTACCGACTGCTCTACTTTCGACCTCTGCTTGTTTCTTGGACCTGTGATTTGCCTTGACGAAGATGCGCGCTCGAATACCGGGCCACCGATTTGCCCTACGACGCGACGACCCTTTGCACGTTTTTTGGACTTTGTCTACCTGGGAGATGACCCCACCCCGTCAACTAGTTCGGCCGTTCCGTCGAACGCAAGCTACGCCGCCGCAACGGATGCAGTGCCCTTCGCGGAGCTTTATACGTGGAAGAAGAAGCAAAAACGTTTAATTTACCCCTAATTGTACGAGACTCGGTACCAGAGAGCAGTGTGTGGAGTTTGCTGTTGAAAATGCCTGCAATCCCTGCCACTAAGGAGTGCCGCACCCATAGAGTGCCAATGAAAGTGGAATATGGGCAAAATAAAAATGTGGGCTCCTGTCTGTGCAATAAAGGAGATTGCCGAGCCCGATCCAGGGTAGCTCGTGGCAAGGACACCTGATTTGAAAATATTAAAATATCATTGCTACGGGTATTCTATCTGATGTACTGTTATGCACATCGCTGGAGCTATGAAGATGCAATCCATGAAGACCCTGAAAAAGATATGGAGGGAGGATGTATATTCATCGCAACTGTCTGCGATTGGTGCAATTACTGCCGGTAGACAGTCGTCATTTACCAAATAGAGCGGCAAGAGGCCATCGGCAGGATTGGTGGCCCAGAAAAAGTTGTCCATATAAATGAGTCAAAATTTGGAAAACGGAAATATAGTAAAGGTAAATTGATTTTATTATATTACAGACTGAAACAATTTATTTATTTAAAGTTTACTTTTAAAGCAAAAATATCTCGAATATTTACTAACTGTTAATTGTTTATTGTTGGTTATAGGAAGACAGATAGAGAGCCACTGGATCCTCGGCCTCATTGAGGATGAAAGTGAAGATTTCTGACAAGAGATGTGCCCCGAAAACATCAGACAGGTCATCGGACGTTCTAGTGCCCCTAATTAAAAAAAAACATGTGGCTGAGAGCACCACAGCCCATGCAGACTTCTGGAGGGGCGTATGATTGTTTGGGGGAACATGGGTACATTCACAAGAAGGTGAACCATTTCGATCCTGATAACACATTTATTGCCCCTGGTGGCACTCACACTCAAAGGATCGAATCGCAATGGTGGGTGTTTAAAAGATTCTTCAAAAAATACAAATATAACAACCCGGAAAATTTTGCAGATATTATCACAGAATATTTGTGGAGAAGGTCAGTCCAAAGAAACAAAAAGAATCCTTTTATGGAATTAATTAAAGGAATTAAACATGTCCATAAATAAATGTTTTTATAATATTATATTACCAGAAAAAAGAACCAGAAGGTATAAATCACATAACAGAATCTGTCAACCCCGACTTCCACGTGGTCTTTCCGCTCCTACCCCTAGAGTATATGAAAACCCGGAAGCGCGGAGGGAAAGCAGCCCTCGCCCGCTGTAACTAAGCGCAGGTGAGCTAGGTGCCTGTGTTTAGTTACGTAGGGGCGAAGTGGCTGCACTTCCGGCAGTGCTGGAGCAGAAGCAGAATCAAAATAGTGTTAATTTTAAACATTTACACACATAATGAATAGAACAACATAGGTCCGTTAGGCGCAACCTTATCTGATACCATAAAGCATGAGTCGAGTGAGCGCAGCGACCGTGCTGCGGCAGCGGCCGGCGAAGTGCCAGAACCGACATTATGAATTGAGGTTAACACAGGACACAGCAGAAATAACCTCAATTTGGTGACTTTGACCTTTGATGACCTTGAGCCTTAATGACCTTGGGCCTTGCTGACCTTGACATTACATTTTTGTGACAGCAGAGGCTTTTTCACGGTTTTTCCTACCCTGAAAACACCCACACTGCCTTTTGTGTGACTTTCGCCGGACAACCTTTTTTAATAAGCGGAAGCGATTTTGCTTTAATATGTAACAAAATATTTCATAAAAGGGGGGGGGGATTCCGGCACTTACCCCTTTTAGGGGAAGGTTTCCCCCCTCCCCCGCGCGGCCATATATTAATGCCGCAGATTACTTAAGAAATGCCTATAATAAAATCTGCGCGCCTTTTCTTATGTGTTATAGTATATTTTAGTAGTTTATAGCAGATTGACTGCCTCGTTGGTCTAGTGGCCGTATACCGTGACTGCTGATCATGTGGCATCGGGTTTGAATTCCGGTGCCAAAAAATATAAGTTATTGTGTTTTTCTGACAAAAATTCTCAGTAGCAGTATAGAGTCAGCAAGTTGGCGGTGTTTCATCCCCATAGAATCCTAATATACACAATAGAATGATTGTCAACGTTATTTTGTACGAGGCTTGGCGTCGCCAAACTCGATTCGCTGTGTTGACGGACTGAATAAATTTAAACATTTTAGACTTTTGATTAATGTTCGAGATCATCATTAAAAACTCGTTTAAATTTTAATACATATTTATTTGTAAATAGGGTGCAATTTGGCATTTTCTATAGTCAACCAAATCTAAGAAATACATTTTGACAGCTGTCAGACTTATTGCACCAAGCAGTTAGTGGCATGCTTGGTGCAAACTGGAAGCAAGTCTGACAGCTGTCCACAACTGTGACACCAAAAAATTTAAAGTAGTACGTAGGAAAGTACAATATTCGATTCTTAAAAAAAATCGATATCGATTATTTAGAGTTGGTAATCAGTTACAGTTTGGTTTGAATAATACCAGAATAAATCAGAAACGTTTAATTTCAAACACAAGACTTATGAGTTTCTTCGTATTTTTGTTACTGATTATTTCTAGAGGCAAAGTTATAAAAATTTAAGATTGAAACTAGATTAAAAATAAATTTATTCAATCACTTTCAGTACAATTAGTTGAGCTGTCTTTGTTTAGATTAATTTGGGGTATCTATATAGTTTTTTCATCTGGTTGGGTTCTATAAACATATAAATGAAAATGAAATGGTAAATATACATAAATATCAATAAAATAAAATAAATACAAAAAATACATAAATAAATAAAACCCACCCAGATGGAAGCCCTCGGCTGAAAAGACCAAACGGCCGAGGGTTTAGGAGAAAGGGAAAAAACGGGCGGACGATGCGGACGGTATCGAGGAGCACCGCCTTCTGCATTTGAGCCCGGAGCGGTCCGTCACGGAATCCCAGTTGCCTCAGATGACCGAGAGCTGATCGGGATTAGTCCATTTGCAGAGACGACTACAGGAATAATTTCAGTCGGCAGACCACCCCACATGTCGGTCACCTCGTGAACCAGGACCAGATATTTTGTTTTCTTATCTGATTCGGCTTTCACTAGGTTCTCGTCATATGGAATGGTAATGTCGACCAAAAATATCCTTGACTGTGCCCGGTCCATCAGCACAATATCAGGCTTATTCGCTGTCTGTGATAATGGCCTGGTCCCAGTAGAGCTTGGCGCGGTCACTTTCGAGCACGGCTTCCAACGAGTACTCATAATAAGGCAGTTTTCGATCCACGAGGCCGTATTTCAGAGCGAGCTCCTGGTGTAGAATCCTAGCTACTAGGTTGTGCCTGTGCAAGTACTCAGAGTTAAAAAGCTCCGAACAACCAGAGATAACATGCCTAAGTGACTCACCGGGATGGCGACAAGCTCGACAGACGTCGACGGTGCCATTTGGATGTATCTCCGATAGTTGTTGGTCTTAATAGCCTGATCCTGTATTGCACAGACAAAACCCTCGTTTTCCCCGAAGAGGTCACCGAAACGTAGCCAGATCTACGAAGAGCTCACGTAGAGCCCTGTAGTACCTCCCGTGGAGCTCCTTCAATACGGTCTATATGTTGGTCCATAATGCTGCGTACTTTAGATTAATTATTACATTTTCAATAATGCATTCAAAATTAATGTCTCTTTCAAAGTCATCCATAATCAATTATTTTTCACAAAATAAGAAGACAAACACAAAATTACGCACAGTAAGCTTCTGAAATGGCGAGAGATTGCAATTACGATGTGGTTTTTTCAGCGCGGCCTTGTATATGAGTTTTTTAACGACACAAATTTACGTTGACAAAGTTAAAAAATAAACTTGTTTTATTCAAGATTTAAGTAATTTAAGGAATTTTAAAAATAAAAATTTAATTAAACAAATAATACATTAAAAAATTAATGATTCGATTATTTGAATATTTTTACCGATTTTTTGAATATTTTTGCCAATTATTCGCATAACAATGAATTTTAACGATCCAAACACTACGGTTAGGTACATAGCGACATATCATTGAAACGACGTCAAGTAAAAAAGGTTGGTACTGGTTATTTTTTAATATTTTGCTTTGAAAGATTCGAATTTAAAATAGTGACAAAAAACTATACACGTTGTAATGAAATATAGATAAATTTATAATTATTCGGATTTACTTAAAAGGTGATTTTGAATCGTGTGAGTACGCTTGTGCAAAGTTATTGTGAAATGATTAATGTGAAACGTCAAAAGGTATTTCTTAGATTTGGTTGACTATAAATAATTTGCATGCGAAATTTGGAAACGATTGTAACATCAAAACACATCTCGTGTTGACATTTATACGTGTAATTTGACGTGTTAGTGACAGTTTAGTGGCTACGCGGGCTCCGTCCACTCCCCCAATCAATTATGTATGTATTATAGTATTCTATGTTCATCCCTGTGCCCCTTAAAGCATGTAGGATTTCCGTCCTGTCGGACTATGAGAGAGGGAATAGAGAGTGCAGCTGTATTTGCGCATACACTTGTGCACCGTAATTTGAGGCTGGCCGTCGTGACCGGAACTCGGTCTGGAAGACATTATTATTATTATTACATCCTGCATGTTGTATCAGGGAAACGGCAGCCCACATTCTACTTGACTGTCCAGCGGTTGTCAGCTACAGATTTAGGTACCTTAGATCAGCAAGATCACTCCCTGTGGTCATTGGTAATATTAAAAATTTTGCTAAGATTCCTGAAGGAGCTTGGGTGGCATTTTTGCAAAATTATTATTGTTAGTAAAATTTAGCATATTTACTATATTTGTGATATATAGCTGTGATAAAATCTTCCAAAAATACAAGGGAGGCGTGTGCAGTTTTGAATTAGATGATATCTACCAGCCTGGCTATCTCTTAAAATAAATAAAGGACAAAAAAACTTTCCTTATAGCTGTTTATATCTTACTGGCGTCTGAAGAATCATCAGCAGACCAATCACGGTCTGAGCAGATCAAGGAACTACACGTGCAATGTATGCGGCAAGAAATTCTTTGTAAGTAAATCTTTAAATTAATACATGACGGGAAAACTTTGTACACCTTTTCTATTCTTAGAAAAAGGGCTTTATCGCTGAAGCGATTATGACGCCCTGGTAGTTACAACAAAATTCTTAAATAGGATAAATACTAACAAAGTACTAACTTATTGATTACTGAATCTCTTATTTACTAATACATAACGCTTTTTGACATCATCTGATAACGGGTCTGATAAAATACTATTAATTAGCAGTATTATCAATGACAAATGTAAAATACAATTTTTTCTTTCTATAGAGTTCTGGACACATTCTATCAAATTGTGATAAACGTCATCGATAACATTGCAAGTTGAACAGTTTGGTAAGGTAGTTTTTCGCATCAAGTATAAAAAATTATTGCATGGAATGTGCAGATATCTGAGTCTTAATGCTATTACAGTGTCGCGTGTACACAATATTCGGTTATCTATCCAGGTTGAGCGCATTGGGTACGGCTGGATCGTACGGTACGAGATTGTACACCTTTTCAAGAATATTGTGTGAACGGAGGAATATAACATTTAATATATAATCAGGGTGATCGACATAGCCCAACGGATTAGTAAGCTTAAGTGGCAATGGGCTGGCCATATAGCTCGAAGAACCGAAAACCAATGGGGAAGAAAGGTTCTCGAGTGGCAGCCTCGTAACGTTAGGTGAAGTGTGGGTCAGCTCCTCACTAGATGGAGTGACGACTTGGTAAGATGTGCAGGAAGTTAATGGATGCAGATTTCTCAGGACCGTGCCTTGTGACATTCGTTAGGGGAGGCCTATGTACGGCTGTGGACTTGTGATACGTTCATACTGCCAATGTCAAACACATAATTGTCTTTATCTTTTAAATTATGGCCTCTCTTGATAGAATTCTGCTAGTGTCAAGTCAGTCATATGAGTGACTTGTTTTATATTAATTATATTTAGAGTTTTCAATTTTTAACAATAAAAAACAAAAGACGTCACATTTTCAAATACCGTCACCAAAATTGGTTAGTAATTTTATAGTTTAATTAACCCTTAATAGGGCATGGTATCAAAAGTATATGGATTTTTGTAATTTTTTGAATTTGGGTTCCTATAAATGTATAAAATAAAGTTATAAAAATAAAAAATTGATATTTATTTTTTTTTATTGGAAAAATCATGTGGTCACTATAAGACCATTGCCCGTTTAGTAAAAAATATGTGGACTCTATATGACCATTGCTCATTTGGAAACTCATAGAAACTCAAAACTCATTGTAGTTTGTAGAAAATTGTATTAAAACTACAGAAACCAATTTAGTATTTATCAAATTATATTATTTTCAGTACTGGTTTACATGAAAAAATTCGAAACAAGGTATTACACATAAAGGAACAAGGCATATTTTGCACATAATATTTGTGCGGCGCTGCTCGCGTCCTGTGCTACAAAATTTGCACCGCCTTCTTTTACCTTTGCAGGGTATGTGCAACCCCACATTAGCTAACCTCACTTCATCCGGCACTCCAAATACACCTCCTTTCTTGTTTTTATAAGTGATTGGTTGTAGACTGGTGGTACTAAAATTATTTATAAGCCCTCTGCCAAGTCTTGCTCTAAAATCTATGTGACTGTTGTTTGTTTTCTTATGTGTCAGCCGGTAACATATATACGCATTAATAGCAGAGGCCTCCAGCATGAACCAAAACAAGCGGAACCAGTTTCGTCTGGACTTCCTTCCGATCGAATAAGACGACCTGAAATTATCAAGGCGATCGACTCCGCCCATATTTTTTGTGTATTCTGCTACTGCAACTGGGCAAACTAGAGGTTTTTTGTCCCGTCCTTTTGTCTCCGCATGATGGTTACGATTTCCTTTGGATTAAAGGCTGTGTTTGCTATGAAAACGTCTTTGGTGTCTCGCCAGTTGATAACCGAAATAGGTTTTATTATATTGAACCATAAATTCACCGACTTCCAGTTTTGCTTCTTTGTTGGCTCTTTGGCCTTTATTTGGCAGAATAGCTTGCGGTAGATCTTTTCGGTTTGTTCTTATGGTCCCAACAGAATAAATATCCCGTTGGTGAAGTGTTTCGAGTAGGGGCAAACTTGTAAAAAAATTGTCAAATACTACGAGAGAACCGGCTGGTACATGTGTGCATAATTTTGTCACGACATTGAATCCTAATCCACCATCGTCTTCCTGTGATACGCTAGATTTTCCACAATATATATCAAACTGATACAAATATCCAGTTTCAGCATCACATCTCGCCCATATCTTGTATCCCCGTTTAATGGGTTTTTGTGGCATGTACTGCTTCATGGTGCTTCTACCTTTAAACTTCACCATGCTTTCATCTATAGAATGACTGCTGCTTGGGGGTGCAGTTCTCTAAAAAAATTCCATTTAAGACGTTCATTACTTCCCTCACTTTGCAAAGTTTGTCATAATTGGGGTGACCTCGTGGGACTTCTGCTGCTTTATCATTCAAGTGTAGATTTTCAGTTAATTTTTTAAACCTTTTGCAAGACATTACTTTTGCAATTACTGGGTTATAAAACAGCGGGTCTGAAGACCAATACAAGTCAATCCTAGAAAGAGGATGCACATAGCGATGGGCGTTGAATCAACGAACCGTTTAAATAGACGGTCTACGTTCAATCGACGCTTCGACGGTCTGCAGTTCATTCGTTAACTAGTCGAATTCATAGACGGCTAGACTGAGAGTCCACAGCGTTCTTATCTACTGACAACGCGACGACGACGCCGTAAAGTGCATGCGTTCGTTGAATTAGTATCATTGAACAAACCAATTTGAATCTTAAGTATATGACATAGGAGTTGATGTTTCTTTTTTATTAGAACTATTAGAGTGAAAAGGCAAGAGCATTCTGATATTGCGCGAAAGAGTATGTCAACGGACTGGCCAAACGATGCAGTGCAGGGTAAACGGGATTATTATTTTTTACCTATACTTTGTAAAAAATTGAAATTAGTGTGTCTACTCGCGTCGCAAGGTCAAAGCTACAGGAGTCGTGCGTGACTCGCGAATGCGAATATAGGCGAACGAGACTAACGTCAAGCAAAGTTGATCAATTTATGTTCCTAAATGTAAATACACCTGAGGAGAGATTTAAAGGGTTTTAAATTCATTCATCAAATAATTTACAGGATTCTTCTGTACATACATTAATAAATAAAAAAAAGGAATTAAAAATATTCATTAAAACACCTATCCATAAAAATATGTAAATAAAAAATTATATATGTACATAAAATCAGTTGATCTTCTAATTACGCCTGAAATACGATAGTAGTAAAATATTTTCAAAGCATATTCAGCCAATCCTAAGCCTAGAAAGGTATTAAGGGAAGTTTAAATTGATTGATTGTACAATTCGATAGTAGGTATTTCTACACCAGTCAGAGTGCTTTGTGCTCACATCAAATTTCTTTGAATTTTTAACTAATTTTGCAGTTTATTCAACTGTCGCGAATAGTGGGTAAAACTAGTTAAGACACTGTCATCGTACCGTTGCGCCCGTAGACACCACGCTTTAGTCGAATAAACGTCTGCCGTTATCGCGTTAACTAGTCGACATATTCAACTAGTTGATCACCTAGTCGATGGACGGCAATAGACGGTCTAGTTTCGTTGACGAAAATTACGTCGACGACCCACCTCTAGATGCACACCCATTAAAATTATCATCCCTAAAAAAGCTCTAATTTCAATGGCATCAGTGGGATTCCAATTTAATGAGAACATATGCTCAGCGTATTTATTTGTATTTTCAGCTATGGTGGAAAATACGTGGTTCGGAAATATGTCCAAAAAGTAATCCAGTGGTAAACTTCTATTGTTGTACTCCTTTGTGGTCTGTAACTTTTTATCAAAATATTTTTGTGGAATATTTGGTACCTCACCTGACCAGTTCCATACTTGACACCTATATTCGAGATGGCTATGAACAAGAGAACAAAACAATATTTTCATTGATTTCAACTGACGGAATTTATAACAAGACCTAATAATAAGGCTCAGAGCCTTATATACTTTATTAACAATATCTTCAACATGCTGATCAAACAAAAGCTTTGATTTCATTGTCATCATTACTACTCAACAATATATTTGATGAAATTGTATGGACATTACTATTGCTATGTTCTGCTGGTGATGCAATTCTTGCACGTATTTTTTTTGCAGGAAACTCAATATTTTCAGCCCCATTTCTAAATCTATCACCATCATCAACTAATCTCATCAATTCGGTTTCAATTATCAATTCCTTCTCAATTATCACCTCGATGAAAAATTTGTTCTATAACGAGGATCCAGATATGTGTAGTATTGCAAAAGAATCGTTTGATTGAAGGTATCCAATTCTTGAATTTAATTGGTCGATGGTACATTTTGTTTTAGTTTTAAAGGCCTATCGGTCGCTTGATGCGACTTACCTATATTTTATAAAATAGTAATACCTCATGACAATCATGAACAAAAAAAGATTATTGTGTAGGTATTATAAACATTTATAAATATGAACTGACTATTGTTGTTCATTATATCACTATAATAAATTTTAATTAAGACACTAAATGCAGGATTAAGATGCTAAGAGTTTATTATTAATATTATTTCAATATTTGAAGTATAGGAATCAATTACAAGAGAAGAGAAGAGAAATCAATTACCAAAAATAATTAGAAAAGCCACATTGAGCAATATATTTTTTGATCCTCTTTGCTTTCTTCATCCGAAGCGCTACTGAACTATGCAATAGCGGCGGCGTCTTGTAGTGTATGGGCATATTCGAGACTTGACTTTTTGACTTTAGTAGAATTGTGGCGCCAGTAAGCTAGAAACCATAATACTAATAATAATGATGTTACCATAATACCACCATACCATAGTACCATAATAATGTTACGGAAGCAACATGAGCACAACAACCTACGACTTTTAGTAACTCTTCACTTCTACTCCAGTAAAATATAAATATAAGGTAATAATTAAATAAAAAGTTAATAATAAGATTTCAAGCATTAAAATTGTGTGATGGACACATAATGAAAACAATACAAGTACATCATATCATAAACACTCACGCCTGTCACCCAGAGGGATAGGCAGACTACAGAGTTCCATTTAGCGCGATCATGACACACCTCTATCGACACCTCCGGTGCCCCGTCAAAACAGCCCCGACAAAACAGCCCCCGACAAAACAGCCCCGACAAAATAGCCCCGACAAAACAGCCACCGACAAAATAGCCCCCCGACAAAACAGCCCAAGTCAAAATAAATACCATACATATCTATAGAATTTATAACTATACTTATACCGTGTATCTACTTCAGTTGGCGATATATGGGAAACTTTTCTATTGTGAGTTTTAGCAAGAAATTATTGAAAAAATTGTAAGTGGTGTAAAACGAATGTTAATACTTTACGTGACTTTTTGGTTCATTTTATGTATTTTTTGTTTTCAACAAAACTATTGCATCGTCTACACACGAAATAAAAACAAAAATAAATGTAGGTATAAAATTATATTATAATGTATATTTACAAACAAAATTCTACAAACTATATTCGTCAAAGGTTATTAATTACAAAGGTTACAATTATTAATAATTATTATAAAACAAAAATAAATGAAGTTATATAATAATATATCAATTTATAATGTCAGATTGTTGGAAATTCCACGGAGATACGGTAAAAGGTCGTCGTTGTTATAATTTCCCATAAGAGTTTCCAATCGACGATTAAGTTGCACATACTTCTTTTTGGAAGCTTCGGGATTTCTGAAGCCGGCTCGAAAACGTTCCAACTCTATTTCTACCCGGTCTTGTTCCTTCCTGAAGTGGTCTATTAATTTGAAAATACATGGATGGTGACAGTCAACGGTGTGTTGGAAAGCATGATGCCATCCTTCTACAGAGTTGTTTGTACGCGGAAGGCCCTGGTGCACTCTATCATGAACATTCCATACATGAATAGGACATTTTGGATCTGTTCTCCGATTTCTTCTTTGCCGTCCTATATAAGTATCTTCCCAGTAATCGATGACTGCATCAATTTCTCGTGGACAGCTTTCGGTTAGCTCCTCAAAAGCAGTGATTACGTCGTCCTCTTGGACAAAAGATAACGCTAGTAACATTTTCAAATGCATTCTCACATTTTCGTCATTGCGATATTCTTCTACAAGATGTAGCTCTTGGATTTTCCTCCATAAACACTGCCCTAAGTGGAATAAACAACCCATTACCTGAACACCATGAAATACCTGGCAAACTGCATTTTGGATCACTTTCTCGAAGCAGCTTATTGGATTTAAAGTGGGTTTCAACTCCATCAATTTTTGAAACACTCGAACATATGTTTCTTCTCGTTTATCCTGTAGAAGCACGTAAATCAACGGAATAGAACGGTTATCTACCAATGCATGAATGGTAAATACTTGTAAAAATAATTGTGGGGCTACTTTAAAGGTTCCATCTACGTGCCAGTGCCGGTGCTCCTCTAAAACTTCCAAATTTTCTTTAGTACCAAACATGAAGATGCGATGAGGATCATTCTGTCCAGAATCCCATAACAAGAAATTTAGATTTCTTGAAGTGACTTGTAGTGCAACAGGAATATTAATATCGGCAACAGAGCCTGGGTTTGGGTACGACACTTCACGCCTTTGCCGAATACGCTCAACAGTTCTCTGAGATGCATTGTACGATGGCAAATGGACTGATGCTTCCAAATTTATCCCTCTTGTCGATCCTTGAATCAACTGCCTTGGTTTCTCAAGGGTGTCCGCTGCTCGCCTTTTCATATTAGACACAGATTTTTTTGCTTCATTTTTAGCTGGATCTGGAGCATGACTGTGTCGAGTCACATTTACCACGACATTTTCCAATGACACTTTGACACGTCCTCGGCAAGGTGTCTCGGAGCATCTCCATGATACACTGCCATCGGTATTAGTTCTCGCCTTACGATACCGGTACCCATCGCTCAACAGTAAATCTTTGCCTTTCTGCGATTGAATAAGTTCCATGATCTACAAGACTATAGTTATTTTGTGTGTCCCGATGTTACTTTATATATTACTTTATCCCCCCTTCTTGGAACTTACTCATAATAGTTATAGTCCGTTCATCGGTTTAAGAAACTAACTTTTCTTTTACGGGGGATTATCCCCTTAATTGGTGCTGCAATTATACTGAATATAAAATTCCACAATATATTCACAGAAATAATTATTATTATTATATTATATTTTCATTATGTAATATACTCTGAAGATAAAAAGCACGATTATCAATGCAACTAGCAAAGTAATAATATTATACTACCTATAACGATCATATTGCGTAAATTAATTACTTAGTTTTATAATTATTTATTTATTATTATACTTTTATGTTTTGTCTGTTTGTTGTTTGTCTGTTTTGTCGGGGGCTGTTTTGTCGGGGGCTGTTTTGACGGGGGCTGTTTTGTCGGTGAGCTGTTTTGTCGGGGCTATTCTGTCTGGGGCTGTTATGTCGGGGAACCCGACACCTCCACATCCATACCTACGCATGCATGCTTGTCGGTTAAGAGTACTCTTAATTTGGCCCATTTTCAATACAAGTTGCCCCGGCACGAAATGACCGCCAGGCGTCTTTTGATTATTTGGACAAAACTATCAACAAATACCATCAAAGTACAGGTCTTATCTGTTTGTTGTTTTTTAAATTAGGTTTTTATTTTATTCATAGAGAAACTATACTTGCTGTACTATTTTCAAGATATGTTTTTTGTTTTGACATTTGTTTGTCATTTTGTTTTTTGTTCTTTACTAGTTGGTATCACAGTTTATCAATGCGAGGTATAAAATGTAGGGTAAAACTTGGTTATTCAGTGATAGTTTGAATAATTTTATCTAGTTTTTGTACAAAATAAAATATTATTTGTTAATACTAGGACATGATAGAGGAGCAAATATGTCACACATTAAACCACATTAGAAAGAGAAACATGTCTCCATATTGTACACAGTTAAACTTTTTTAACCTACAAAAAGTTCAGGTAAAATGGTGATAGTACCAGACTTATTATGTGATATATGCTTGGTTATATGGTGATATGACTGGTAAAGCTGTGATATATTAAAAATGAAAATTTTAATTAATTTTTATAGTTTTATTTTTATAATAATAATCAAGTTTTGCTTATAATCAACAATATTTTAATATAGATCCAAAGTATTTCTTATGTTCCTAACAAATATTGGATTTCAATTTGATATTTGGCATTCAGTACATGAAATACTTTGGATCCAGCACAGTTTGACACTCCACGTGATACCAAGTCTTACTTAAACATTCAATCTACTCTTTCCCATTCTTGGCCTTTACATCATTTTTAAAATCTCCTCCACATGTTCCACATATATTTATATTTTTCGGTTTAACATTTTCTACAGGGCCAGAAACTTGACCCCGTTTTTCTTTACCTTTAGGACACTTTCTTCCTTCTTTTCTCTGTTTTTGAAGAATTTTCAGTATATTTTCAATACCAGAATAGTTTAGTTCGGGAGCTTTTTTTTCTTTATTCAAATCTTCATTTGTGCCCTCTGACACTGCTTGAGGAATTTGAAGAATTTTCAGTATATTTTCAACACCAGAACAGCTTAGTTCGGGAGCATTTTTTTCTTTATTCAAATCTTCATTTGTGCCCTTTGACACTGCTTGAGGAATTTTCAGTATATTCTCAACACCAGAATAGCTTAGTTGGGGAGCATTATTTTCTTTATTCAAATCTTCATTTGTACTCTCTGAGACCATTGAAGTTGCAACTGCTTCGTTTGGGATAGCATTGTAATTAGGAAAGAAAAACGACATAAATCCTAAAATACTGTTATGAGCTTGAGGTTCGTGACAATAAAAATTGCCGATAGAATTACCTAAATTAACACTTTAATTTTCTTTACACAAATTAAAACTTAAAACACTAATAATTACGCACACTAATTCACTTTATTTCGCTCCGAAGCTTCGCTTGTCTCGCCAAATTCAATACTTCCCCGATCGCACCTTGCAGCGCCTATAAATACACATTAGTACCGAATCATCCAGAACATTCAAGTAAATACGCGTACCAATCGACAAAGCGCCGAAAGTTCGAGAGTCAGCTTCCAGAAGCTTAGTTCTTCGTTTCGACAACAGATGGCGCTGTCGGTTGAAAGATTAGTGATGTCATTTTATGGAAAGCTCCCCTCCCTGCTACGTTACCCGACACTAGATGGCGCTAGTGCCAGATGTCAACTTAGCCGCGCAACACTGCCCCCCTCCTAAGACATGCTCGTCCCGAGCATTATCGGCCCCATAATAACGCGCCAAGCGATCCACATGGACGATCTTAGGAGTCCCTCTTGCGCCTTTCTGTAACGGCTCCGCAATGTCAAGGGCTGTCCTATCCCATGGTGCACCAACATTGTACAATTTCGGTGCTCCTCTACTACGTGTCTGAGGTCCCCGCACGGCCGCACAACTTGTACATGTACGACACCAAGCCTCGACATCGTCACGATAATGGACCCAGTAAAACTGTTCTCGGACCTTCAGCAGAGTTCGTTTAACTCCCAGATGGACTCTTGAACGACCATTATGGCACAGCTGTAGAGCACGGCACTTTAGCCTTAGGGACAACCATTTGCAAACGACAGCTGTCTCCTCGAACATTGTCCCATTTACGGCACAGGACTCCATCCTGAATCAGCAAGCCGTCCCACTGGGCCCAATAGCCTCTAGTGGTCGAACTCATCGCTGAGACGTCGTTCCACTTAGGCTTGGTAGCACGGGCCTTCATCCATTCCAGAATCGGCTTGATGTCCGGATCTTCCTGCTGTGCATGTCGTAGGCTGTCCTTCCACTCGTTGCTGAGGTAGTCTGTCCTGAGCATCCACACGGATACCACTTCCTTACTCTTACAACGTTTCCAATCTTCACGACAAGGTCTTTTTGACAATGCATCTGCGTTGCCATGAGATTTCCCGCTGCGATGTCTGCTGTAGTAAAGTCGTATCCCGGCTGCTGCTGGGCGGTGATGTTAGCCGCACTACCCTTCTGAGATCGTTCACCTTCCCTTTCTAGGGTTCGCTTAGGGCAGCTGGATCGAAGATGGCCCCTTTCCCCACAGCCATAGCACCTAGGGCTGTATCCTTTATTGTGGTCGCGAACTGTAGCTGCAACCTCCCTGATGCGATGAGAACGATGATCCTGCCGCACGGCTTCCACCTCCAGTGCATGGGCCAAGGCGTCTTTAAGCGTCCCGTGGTGCCCGAGCCTCACAGCAGCTCTGACTTCAAGGTCGCGGATGCCGTCAATGAATGTCTGCACCAGGTTCCCTTCAATGAGCGCAGGTACAGACTGGTATGCTTTTCGCACCAGCTTCTCCACCTCTAGAGCCCACTGCTGCAGGTTTTCGTTGCTGCGTTGCACGCGTTCTCTAAGCTGCGCTCGAAAGACGTGTTCCAGGTGAGCGTCGCCATATCTAGCCTCCAATGCCTCAAGGAGCTGCTCGTAAGTCACTTCTTTACCGAGAGCTTCTAGAACAGTTAAGGTCTGGTCGCGTAGGCCTAGTGTGAGAGCAGTCATGGCCTGACTTTTATTCCAGCCGTTTGCCTTCATAACGGCCTCGAACTGGATTTTAGGCCGCCCAGGAAGAAGTCCCGTCGAACGGCGGCACTTTAAATCCACGTACTGAAGGTGTTGCAGCTACCACGGGAGGTGTAGTTCCATCCCCCAGTTTGACATCGTCCGGAGTTTTCTTCACATCAGCCACCACGTTGTCTACCCGATTGTTCACTTGGTCGATTTGGGTTATAGCTTCCTTGATTTGGGTTTCAGCCTTTACGATTTGGGTTTCAGCTTCCGACAGGCGGTTGTCATGCTGAGCAACTCTATCCTTAACCTCCTTTATCTCCTTCCCGAAGGTAGCGTGAAGATCCTTCATGAGGAGCATTTGCTCCTCCAACCGACGGGCCTGTTCCTCTTGTCCGCCCCGCAGCTGATCTTCCAAACGACGGACCTGTTCTTCTTGTCCGCCCCGCAGCTGCTCTTCCAACCGACGAACCTGTTCCTCCTGTCGGCGAGCTTGTTCTATGTTCTTGAATAACCAAGGCTTACCCTACCCAAAATTAAACAAGACATTAAAAAATTTATTACCTCAAAATTTTAAGAACAAATTACCCGTTTTTATTTAATTTCGCTAAAAAGATGAAAAAAACACAAATTGCATGCAAACAACAATTTAAACAGGTGTGTATTAGACGCAACTGCTGACAAAATACTGTGATAAGGCGAAGAGAAACACCGGTTCTCAAAATATGTTTGACTGTTGTTGAAAAATAAATGTAAATGTTTAAATTACACCAAAAAATTACAGCTAATAAATGGACAAAGGAGTATTTATAAGTTAATGTAACTTCACTCGGTCCGATTCTGATTTTATATTTTAGACTTACGATTTGTCGATTTTTCGCACAAATATCTTCACGTGCTTGACCCGTGCGTATTGGTAGCGTTTTTTATTTTGCAGCTGGTTTAGTTTTGTTCAACCGCATCTTTTTGGATTAACTAAGGTGATCATTTATATAAATACGTATGTTTCTTTTTAGACCAATATCTTTCGTTGAAATAAATTTACTCAGGCGAGAAGCTGCGATGAAGTATTCTTTCATGTACATGTCCATAAAAGCAAGAATTGGCTTGGTCTTGTTAGGCCCAGCCTCACTCGCGTCTGGACACGTGTTACTTAATTAATATTACTTTTTAACACGGGGTATTATAGATTCTAATTTAGTTACTATCTCAAACAAATTCTCCCCAGGTTTAAATGGTACTCCCTTGATTTCGACGTAATTTTGTCTAAGCCACTGATCTTTTTCATTAATTTCTGCTTTCATCTTATTTACCTGTGCCTTTAGAGCTGATGTTTTTTGCTCATTTTCGACTACTTGAAGTCCTTTTTCAAAGCTATTAATCTTTTCTCACATATTCTTTTAGATTTTCGTAGCCTCTCGTCAGTCTAAAACCTTCTAAAGGTCGCTTTTAAAAAAGTACGCGTCTGTCCACAACCTTTAGAAGGTTGCTATTTACTTATAAACTTTAGACACGAAACAGCCGTAGTAAATGTATACGTATCTCCCTCTAACTCGCACAAAATTGTTTTAATGTCATTAACCTACTCATTTCGGTATGGAATTGTCGCTATTGAAGTACAAAATGTCCCACATTATTGTCGAGCTTGTGGTGTAAAAAAAATGTACGCGGAGTTGTGTTTTTTTATTAATTATTGTAAAGTGTGTTATCTTATTGTAAATAAAATAAATATTCATTGAAATAATAATAATAATTATTATTTTTTACATTTATTATCTTGCATTTTTATCATGGAATTTAGAAAATATACAAAAAAGGTGAACGTACACATTTACACATATCCTATTAGCTTACTCAACAGTAATTCTAACAACCTATTATATTATGCAGTTTCCATACATAATTATTAAGATATTGCCATTTTAATGACACGCGCTACGTAGGCAATAAATCACTCGTTTAGGGTTGGACAGATGCGCCAAAGTGGGCATTTTGGTCGGGACAGTTGAGAGGGTAGGTCTGAAATATCGTTTTTGATTATTTGAATATCCATTGATGACTTCTTGTAGAGGTAGTAATTGACACGAAAGCTCCTGCAATTCGATCATAACATTATGAAGAGTAGGTTGAAGTGTAGTTTCAGGAAATGGTCATCCAGGCCGGGTTAGTTGTTGAGACGTCTTACAGGAATCACAGCGCCACGATGACTGTATCTCCTAGCTTGCGATATCCAATTTCAGTTATCCCAGAACATGGGTAATAGAAGAACTTACGACAGATAGAGCATTGTATGACGCTAGATACTTCGTCACAACATTTACCACACACCACCATATTGAAGTTAGACGGAAGAAAATATAACATTTTCTCTATTCTTAAAGTTAAATGACATCGAAAGTCATAAAAATCATTGTACGAAAATTTTCTCGCGTAAAATTCATGCTGACGTGACGCAGACAATTTTCAATTTGCCTCCAAATCGTAAACAAATGACAAATTAACATACAAGAGTTCCATTTTCAAAATTAGAACTTATTTTTTATTATATCGTTTCCAAGTGGCCACTTCTAAAAACTTTCAGTGTCGCCTTCGTAATTATTTTTTTTTCAGATATTGAGATATTCATTCAGGTTTGGAGTAACATTATTTCCTTTTTTATTTTTGCACTCTCGAAATCTGGACCGAAAAGTTTCCATTACAGCCCGACAAGAGGTTGATGCAATGTCTTGCATTTCATTGCATATTCTTCAATAGACTCTGAATGTAAAATGAAATTGATGGCAATGAAAAAAAGAATTTACTTTTAAGATATTCCAAAGAAAAAAGTCGATTGAGGACAAATCCGCGCTGCGGAGTAGCCAGTTAATGTCGCCTCTTTTGGATATTAGTTATTGGCCCAAAATTTTACGAACTGCTCCTATAGAGTCATTGGAAGTGTGAGATGTTGCACATCTTGTTGACATCAGGTTTTCTGGCTAAAGCCTGAAAAGTACACAAAGTGTAATGCTGGTTCAAAAAAATACTGTAGCATCGCAACGTGTCGCTCTGTATTAACAGTAACTGATGGCTTCTTTGATCTTCATAAATATACGGACCAATGATTCCACTTGCAAATAATGCCGCCCACAACTTAACTTTCGGCGAGTGTAAGGGTTATTGATGTATCTACAATTTTGTTTGTTAACATGACTTTAAGTGAAAGTGTGCATCATCTGAAAAAAAGATTTCATTGAAGGTCG